CTATAGAGATAAGTCAACTGATCAACGGCTCGATAATGTACTGAGAAATTCCTCGAATATCCACTGCATTCTTCAGCTTGACTTCGATGAACAACTGAAAATGCCCTATATGGTTCTAAATGGCAGCGTATACTGAAAGTGATTGTCCTCACAGTCTATAATTTTCGTCCCGCCGACCGTTAACTCAAAAGGCCTCGATAATTGCCGATTAGGTTCGATTTGCCCTGACGTGTAAGTCCGAGAAGTTCTTTGGTGGTGATTCCCTCTACGTTTTGGTGATCCATCTGGATTGGTTGGCACTTCTACGTTGGATGTTCTGAGAGTGATTACTCGCGCGAGCCACTGCTGGCAGCTGACCCGTCAGATGTTCCGTTTGGCGTTCTCTATGGCGGATGCAGAAGACACAGCGCAAGATGTATGCTCGGACTCTACCTCTGCCGCCGATAATTCAATATCTTTATTGAGTGTGGGCCAGTGTCAGCCGAGTTCCTTCATGCCATGTTTTGCGATGAGCTTCTTCGACTACTAATGTAGTGAGACGAGATTGGCAAGGCAGAATTACTGGGCGAGTCTCGGCCGGATCTAGTTGAGCATTCGTCAGTCGTTCTCCTACTCTGACTAGTGTTTGACTGATTTCGATGCATTAGCCATTCATGGATCTGAATGTTGAGTGTCTCTGACGTTAACCTCAACCACCTGGAGATTGAGATTTTGTCCGGCTGGTTGAATTCCTCTCTGAAGTGTTTCCATTGTCGAACATATTCTTGGGGTGATGGTTCGTCCTAAGTTAGATCTGTGAGAGCCCTGACCTCTTGGTGAGTGTGTGGGAAGTGAATTTCTTGGATTTGTACGTGGAGGTGTCGGTTGATTGTTGCCAACACAGTCCAAGTATCTTGATGATCGACTCTTTGAACTGGATGAACGAGTCTTCTGTAAGCTCAGCTCTCGGAGCTTCTCCAGCTCCCAACCGCACTTAGGCTAAATTGTCCTAAGAGATAAAGTTTATGGCAGTACCAGCTTCGGGTCCGTGGTGTCCTGTGTGTAGGCAAGAGTAAGGCAGATATTCGGGAGAAACTTGGCGGTCGAAAAAGTAAAATACCGTACCGTACCTAGATCAAATGGAAATTTTTCTTCAATTATTACATTGTTTGTTGTTATTTTTTTGATTACGTGTCGCGTCCAGAAAATGGTGCCTTTCAGGCGCCAGCCTGCAAAATATATTCTTAAGGGAAAATAGAAAATTGGCGGGGTCCATTCGATTTTCATTAAAAGAAATATATAATAAGAAGTATATACAATAAGATAATGCACGCACGTTTCCTAATAAAATAGAGAAATATTAAATTGATATTTATACTCAATCGAAATTGATCTAAACCGCTTAAATCAAATATCGGTGTTTGTCCGAAAAGTCTCCAAAAATCAAAGTACACTGAAAATGTTTTTCATTGTACCAAGTTTGTTCATTTTAATTTGGCATCAAGAGCGGAAAATATAGAAAGCATGGAAATGCATGTGAAGTCAGGTCTATTAATGACATGAGAGTGTTTAATCATTGTTTACCAAAGAATATTTCCTCTCCAAGAAATCTATCAAAGGTACGAATTTTTTTTTTTTAAATCGATTCATAACAACCAATAATCAAAGAATAACAATAAAAAATGTAATAATTTAAAAAAATTTCTCATCAACCATTGAAAATTTTCCCATTTTACTTTTTCCACCACTAAGTTTCTGTCCAATATTCCCGCTATCCTGGCCTTGTTCGGGGGAATCCGGTGATGAAATCTCGCTAGAGCTTAGCGTACGCCTCGTTACAAAGTATCCATTTGATAGCAAAAAAATATGAAACAAGGCACATGAATTCCAATTATAAAGGGTTTTAGCGAGCGTTCGATCTTGTTTGAAAAGCGTCAATCATTTGCGTTATTGGGTTCGCTTGATTGATCGTCACTGTATGAAAGAAAGGAGACACTTGAAAAAAAAACTTTCCATTTGGCAACATTGAATTAATGTTTCAATTTTTAGGGACGTGATATTTCTTGATTTCGATTTCTGCTCGCAGAGAAGAATTTCATAAAAATTACATGCCTGTTCTGTAATCTGCCGGTCAACACAGTATTCAGTAAAAATTAGTGAACAGTCAAGCACTTTTTTTCTGAACATTCAGGAGAAAAACGGAACGTTTAGTGCAACAATGTGTAACTATTTTGACTGGCTGATTACATAGCAGGCACAATTTTTATGAAATCTTTCTCTCCGTGTGTTGAGTCCTGTTAGAGGATATGCTCTAATGTTCTAATAATGTCTAATAATGTCTCTAATAATTGGAGAATACCTGGGATTTCTAGAATAATCCTAGTTTTTCTTTTTTAGTAAGGTATACAGTGAACATAAATATTGCAAGTTTTAAGCACTCGACACATTTCTATAACGTCCAATTTGAAATATGTCAAGTGCCTAAACTTCGTTCTTTTTTCAATTAAAATATGAAAAAGGAAAAATTTTGCATGGGAAATTATGAAATCAAGGAATTTCAAGTGCCCTCTTTCATCCAAGAAAAACATTATTTAAAAAATTATTCATCATAAAAAAACGCTTGCCATTCTCTGTAACTAGAATACCAGGTGAAAGGACAATTTTCAGTTCGAATCCTAAATTTCGTGAGATGTGTAATCGATCGCTGAGTCAAGACACTGTAGTTTCTGGGTTTGCAGATGAAGTTTCGGAGAGTGGCGAGAATTTCTGGAATTTAGTGAAACATCTATAGAAAATGGAGCTCATAAATCAGCTCATGATTTGATTTTCAGAGGACTAGCTTCACCGGAATTCCCTCGGAAATTTCACGAACAGAAATTCCATTGAACTTTCAGACCATATGTAATTAATACCCCGCATTAACCGAATCAATTGAATCCCATTAACTTGTTTCTGCAAGGGATGTTTGGAGAAAAAAACCTTAGAAGAACTGGGAATAAATTCTGAATCTCAAAAAAATTCTCTTTAAATATCAACGAGGAGAATTATTTTATGTTTGCTAGAGGAATGATGACGCCCATATTCACGACTATAATCTCCATGTTTACGTCCTTCCGTAAGAATATGCGGAACAGTAGCCGCTCCACATCATCAGGTATTCAGAAAGCGCTCTCGATGTTAACAGGCCCAGCTAGCCTGATAGAAGATGGAACGGGTCAAGCTTGGCCCAATGTTGGTAGTCTTGGCTTAACGCTGGGCTAACTTTCGGCCAATCCCGACCCATTTCTCAACAGATCCTACCCGAGTACTCAAGCATAATAGAGGCGTGAAAGGCATCATGCAAAAATGGTTAAGAATTTTGGGTCAATAGAACTCCAATTTTTTGTTTAGTTTTATAGTTTTATCTTCTAACTTCAATTGCTTATTGAGAATTCAAATAAAGCAAGTTGGCAGATTTCATCAGTTTTTCCGAAGTCTTAGATGTATTGTCCCTATAGTAGGAATTTTCCTGTGATTTGTGTTGTAATATTCTGGAATAATATTCAAAATATTTGTCTCGATGTACTCTATCTCTACACTGAGAAAAAAATTTTCTTTAGCCAAGAATATTTACTAACCACAAGAAAATATGTTTGACATTAGTAAGTCTTATGAAAGTATTTACACAGTGATCCCCAGATTTACTAGTAGGAAGAAAATATTCTTAGCAAAAATAATTTTTTTTCTCAGTGTATTGATCAAAATATGTATAACCATCCCTACTAAGTTTTCCAGATATCCCAATTTTTCTGCTTTAACAAAACAATTGTCAGCACGGTAACGTTGCGAAAAATTGATTGATCAAACAGAAATCGGGCATGAAGTGTTCGCTTGGCAATGAAATGTTTGATATTGAAGACGGGTTGAATCGCATATTTAGGTCATAAAATTTTTTAATTCTTCCGTTTTTTCAAAAAAATTCTGTTAACCCGCTAGAATTTCGAAAAGTTGTCACATCAACTTGAATTTCAGCATGAGGGTTCCTCTTGACAATGAAATATTTAGGATTGAACATCGGCTGAATCGGTGCGTTAAATCATGAAATATTCTACTTTTCTTAATATTGACTTTCTAAAATATCTCGAAAACTATCCAACCGATTTACATTTTTTACATCTCAGAATATTCTACTCGTTTTCAAAACGTAATAATAAATGGCATTTAGAAGTCACATCCCTCATCATAGGAAATTTTCAACAAATTTTCCAATTTGAAACATTGCCAACGCAAAATGTCAAGTTGAAAGATTGATTTTTCAAGAAATGAGAGTGTAAGATTTTAGCATTTTCTCTAGCCGGTTTGGAACATACCATCAATTCATTGATGGCGATAAAAGATTTTAAAAATCATTCAAAGACATGCTTACTGTCACGTCCTCGCTGTCATATGTTCACGACTTCTGTTTGTTTATACTGAATTCATTACATCGTTAAACAATAAAAAGATTATTTTTAACAAGGTACTCATAATTTCAGATAGTCATTCTGTGATACGGGAAAGACAATTGACCGTTTTAATTGATAGAACACCAATTTAAATAAGAGCATATCCATATTGCACGAGACTATCCTACTATATATCCGTATAGCAGTAATTTTGAGATAATTAACACCTTCAAGATGTTTCATTCGAAAATGGTAAAAAATGAGCATTCTTTGGCATTCATACAGAATATTGGTAATCATACCAAAATTGTCTACCAATTTTCTTAAATTTTTTTGTCAGATCTCCTTTTCAAGTTATTGCCGACCGAAGTCTCCTACATGAGCTTTTGGGGGCATTTCTAGTTTAGAGATGCTAATATAAATTTTCGCTAGATTTTAAAATCTTTATAAGAGTCCATGTACAAGAAACGACTGCGACGGATAATAACTTGAAAAAGAGATCTAAAAAAAATGGAAGAAAATGAATTTCAATCAAAGTTCATCTTTTGCATTTTTCGACTGACACCCTTTAAATGATTTTCTTCACTTACCCTTTAGCCTGGCAATGACGGCACTGGTGTCTGTGACCTTGAGCACTGCGGTACATCACTTTGTGGACCCGGAGAGACAGACTCTGAAGGCAATTGTCGAGTGGAAACATCGGCTACTCCGTTCCACATAAGGGTGGCATTTGGAGCAGGAAATGAGAATTTCACGTCCATGGAAGACATGATTGGTATGTGTATCAATTACGAGCAACTCCCTTGTCTATCGTGATACAATTTAATCGACAAGTTCTAGTCTTTGGGAGTTGCAGACGTGTCCTTTATTCATGATTTATTTAGGTAGTGTCTACACACACGGTGTATGGTAGACAATTCGAGGTATGCACACGTCAATTGCGTTGAGGTTCAAAATAAAAAATGTCTAAGGTATGGTTCTGCTCCTCATGTATCAAACAAGGAGGATAATTTTTTTTCCAATTATTCTTGAGATTTCTAATATGATCGAAACACCAAGAGCACAGCAACAAAAAGGGATCTTAGTGAATAATAATGTCCGAGTTCTCACGATAATTAGTTAACTAGTTAGTCTTTGTTTTGGATAACGTATAGTTTTATAAAATTATTATATTTTTATTTCATTCAACTAAGATATTATCAAGGGATTTAAGTTGTAGGATGTAATTCCTGTAATTATTTGAAGAATGCTCCAATTTCGAGAAGTGGGAAAAGCAAAAGTGAAGCGGAACGTTTGTTAATTTTTCTTCTTCCTTTCAACGTGCATTACTTGTGTAAATTTAGGATGTTTCACATAATTGGTTATTATATATTGACAAAAATATTTTGAATAAAATTGAAGAATTCATTAAAAACCTTCAAGTGTGTATGAATTAGTTAGGAATCCTTTTATTGCTCTCGAAAACAGGGAAGAGTGAAAAATATAACTAGTATGAGTTTTCTGGCAAGTCAAAAGGTTTGCGGCCTTCCGGAGATAGCTGGAGTTGGATGCATCTCACTGTGAATGTTTATATACGCACTACATTTTTCGATTCATTTACGCCTTCAGTAAGGGACTTCAATATTTTAATTGCTCTTGGAGAGAGAAAAGAGCCAAAATTGAACTGAGGTAAACGATTTGATACATATCTGCTATTTGTACCAATAAAAAAAATGTAAAGCCATAGTTCTAATTACCATACACCCAGTAATCGGTTGGGTGTATGGTGGAAATTACCATGCACATGACATTGTGCCATGGACGCATAACGACCGTTAAGTGTATGGTATTTTTTACCATGCGTTTATGGTTCTCATCCATGTGTCCATGGCATTGTGCCATGGATGCATGACAACCGTTAGGTGCATGGTATTTTTTACTATGCGTCCATGGCTCTCATCCTCGGCCCCGTGCCGTGGACACATGACAAAGCTTACCATGGACCATGATTTACTTGCGGAGATGATCCATAAAAGCCATAGATCCATGGTAGAAAAAATGCCATACGTCTATGGTATTCAACCACACACCGTGCGTATAGACACTGCCATTTATTAATTAAGCTACGAATAATAAAGGTCGAAATGTCGATTTGCGACGTTTTGCGGAATATTCTGATTCAACCAGAGATAGCAAAATTTTCTTCCGGACCTTTTTGTCACTCATCAGTTCGTGAAGCAACGCTGCGTAGTCGTAAAATCCTGCCTACGGACTGAATAACAAAAAATATTGTTCGACACACGGCCGTAAAAAAGGTTACAGAACGAGCCAAATGCGAGTTCTATAATCATAGGAGGTAGAATAGTTGTACACGGCCCTGTGTCGAACATTGTAGTATCGAAATGTACTATTTTGAAGAGTCAAGCGAGAGGTACAGCAGAGGTATTCATAAAAAATTAGCGTAAATTCGAAGATATTTTTGAAAAGGTTATGGGTTCGGTAATTCATCACTACTCAATTGCAAAGTTAAATAACCTCTATTTTAATGAACTCAGTGTATCACCGATGGAGTTAATTATTTCATTGGCGTAATAATTTATTGATTAAACGAACTTATCTAAGTGAAGTTCTATCATAATTCTATGAAGCGCCTCTTCCGAAAGATTACTAGTAGTACCCTTATTCCTACAGATAGTGCCACAAATTAAAAGTCCCACCAAAAAATTTTCTTCCCATGTGTGCGCCACACTGGTCGCACGGTACTACGTCATTTCTTTAAAGTCATGCCGTAATGGAAGGGGCTCGAAGGGAACTGAGAGATAAAGGGACTGGGTGGGACTGATCTTTCGGAAGAGGCGCTTCATAGAATTATGATAGAACTTCACTTAGGTAAGTTCGTTTAATCAATAAATTCTATTTTGCGCCTCTTCCTCAGATCACTAGTAGATGTTGAAAGCTACTAATTACGGCATAAAGTATATTTATTGTCTGATGCTTATGCATACAGTAGTAGAAAAAGATTAATATAAGTTGAGGTGCTCAAGTTTTATTCAACAGGAGAGTATTAGCATATTCAGTTTTATCTTTTACTAAATCCAGGTGATAAAAATCAGCAAACACCTTGGATTTTTGTGTCCACCCAGCAGTCTGTTTGATTAGGTCAACGCTGATACCACTTCTGTTAGCTGCTGATGTTGAGGCATGCCTAGTAGAGTATGCTGTGAATACTCCTGTATCGATGCCACATTCCTTGAGAATGTCTTTAATCCACCTACTAATTGTCTGTGCTGTAACTTCATTGTGAGGTTTTTGGAATGAAATCAGAAGATTATGAGTGTTGAGTCGAAGTTCCTGAGTGGCTTGGAGGTAATCCTGAAGAGTTGTAGCTACGCAGATTCTTTTGTTCTGAGAGAAGAAGGGCAGGATGAGAGTTGGTTGTTTTTTATTTTTAACAGTTCCAGAATTAGAAGTTTTGATCATCGCAGGTATTTTAATCTCGATATGATCAGCTAATACTCTTATGTTCCTGATATCAATCACTGAGAAGGTCTGCATACGGTGTGATGTCGTCAAGGCCAGGTGAATGGTTAGCTTCAAGGTCAATTGTTTTAAGCCGAGAGCCTCATTGGAGGGCCACGTCTCCAAAAGATCTAACACTACCTTTGGGTCCCAGGTATCATTGTATTTGGGTTTCGAAGGTCTCTTGTTACTTACACCTTTGCAGAACCGTTTTATGCCAGGATCTGAGCCTACTTCTGGTCCCAGAAGAAGAGATAATGCTGATCGGTAACAATTTATTGTTCCTTGGGAGGCTCCCTTATGAAATTGTTCAGTCAAAAAGGAGAGGATATGAGTTGTGTTTAGGATGTAAGCATCCCACTGATTAGTGAGACAAAATTGCCACCATTTCTTGAGGGGTGATTCATATTGTTTCCATGATGACAACCTGATGGAGTCCAAGGAGAGTTCAGAAGATTCTGGTGGTGCTCCTCTCATCGCAATTGCCTTCCTGACAAAATTCCGGCCACCAGGGAAAGTTGTTTCTGGAGTGGGTGGGGTTCCCTGTTCGAAGAGTTAATCAGGTTAATACTGGGTTGAAAGATGATTGGATCTGATTCCAACATTCTCTTAAACAAAGGGAACCAAGCTTGAGCTTGCCATAGAGGGACCACAACAATGCCTCTAGCTTTATCAATTCTTATCTTTTTAAGAACTCTCAATATGATTGAAAATGGTGGAAAGGCATAAAAGAAGAGGGGAGCCCAATTTATGGTGAAGGCATCTACTGCTACCGACTCGGGGTCCTTTTGCCATGACACAAATCTCTTACATTTTTTATTAGACCTTGACGCGAATAAATCTATTTGAGGATAGCCGAGGGTTCGACAAATTTCGTCGAAAGCATAAGGAGCAAGACTGAATTCTGTTTCTGGTTCTAACCGTCTTGACTCATAATCAGCAATGCTGTTATCAGCCGAGCTGATGTATGATGCGAAGATCCAGAGATTACGGCTCTCGCACCACTGCCAGATCTTCTTCGCTAACTTGCTGAGGTCTAAGATCTGGATACCCCCCATACGATTAACATAAGAAATAGCAGTGGTATTGTCAATGCGTAGAAGGACATTACAATTCTGAAGATGTCTCGCAAAACACTTCAGGCCAAAAAATGCTGAGAGTAATTCTAA